ATGTGCCTCCACATCCAGCTAATTTTTGTATTTTTGTAGAGATGGGGTTTTGTCATGTTGCCCAGGCTGTTCTCAAATTCCTGGGCTCAAATGATCCGCCCACCTTAGTCTCCCAAAGTGCTGGGATTACAGGCATGAGCCACTGTGCCTATCCTCTCATTTTCAAGGGACCTGGTGCCTCTAATATCTCAGCCTTGCTGGGGTCCCAGAACCTCCTGTAACCTGCTTTGGGGTTCCTCTATCACTCCCTCACACCCCTACCTCCACCCCACTCCAGATTTCAGCTTTAGCTTTCCTTGGTTGGCCAGGTCAGCAACACTTGTTTATTTGGTTTCCAACTTCCAATATTTAATTGCTATCATTTCCTTTTCATTTCTAATACTTAATTGCTATCGTCTTCTTTTCATTTTCTTTATCCTTATGGGCCTGTGCCTTTTGAAAATCCATTTATCATACTTTAGCTGCTGTGGGGAAGGGATGACAATAAATGCGTGTATTTCAGTTTGCCACAGTTGATCCTGCGTCTCAACAGGCTTCAGATAATAAACATACTTGTGTATTTCCTACAACCAATGTGGCAGAGCCAACGCTGTGAGTCTGCCATCCTGTTCTCTCTTCTTAGGCACTCAGGAGAACACAATTCTCAGACTCCCTTTTAGACAGGTTGGGATCATGTCGCTGAATTCCCATGAATGGGGTGTACCAAGGAATTTTGTTCATTTGCCCTCAAATCCCTGTCATCCTCAGGAATGAAAGAAAAACACTCCGAGACAGCTGTGTGCCAGCAGGGAGCAGACTGGGTCTCTGGGTCTCTTGTGGAGGAGACACCCCACCGACTCACATTGCACTGTGAGGTGAACACGAAGTCAACCTGTGTTTAACCCTTGTGTTTAACTTAAACCTCTGTGTTTAAGCCAACTGTGTTTAACCCCTGAGATTGAAGGTTTATTTGTTGTTGCATCATGGCCTGGAATATTCTAACCAATACAACTGCTTTGTATAATATATCTCCATAAAAGCCAAGGATATTTTCCCAAAATAGTTGTCTACGGGAGCAAAGTTGTATAGTGAGAGCACATGGCTTTCGGTGGTTCCGGCTTGGCTTCGAGTGCACGCTGGAATATCCAGGGGAACTATCCGGGTGTAAACGCTCCGTACGGTCCTCCATGTGAATTACTTTTTGAAATAAAAATTCTTATGAGTTGGCCAGTTACATCTTTGGGGTTATATTCCCTAGCAAGAATTTGTAATACTGATATTGTGTTTTCATTAAGTGTGGAAACACGGCTTTGAAAACGAGCCAGAGGAGAAACGGAATTAACATTCTCTTAGGAAAATGAAGCTGCTGGCCTGTACTCCGCATGAACAGAAGGACCGCTGTGGGACCTCTAGAAAACAGAGGTGTTCCTCCAACAACAGTTCCAGAATTCCTCCAAGGCGAGCACAGGAAGGTGGAGGTTCCGAGGTGGACGGTTAGAGTGGACATCTGGGATTTATCTGCCAGACGGTTATTCTCTCTTCCTCTGGTAAGAAGCTCTAATTTTCCTTGAGAGATCTTCTCTTTTCTATCAATGTTGGTAAAGTGGGGCTGACCCCCCCAACTCTGTCCCCCACATCCCCCCCACATCCCCCCTCCCCCGCCTGCCAGGACATGTGACCAGGTCTGGCCAATCAGCTTGCTGTGTTCTCTAGGCCACGAGGATCAGTGCAGGAGGAGCGTGAGGTCTCAGGAACTTAAAGAGAATGAACCCTGCGGATTTTGTTGAAACTATTTGTAAAGACCGCCAACTGCTACCATTTACATTTCCCCTGGGGTTGTTAGGCTGAATGGACGCAGACCTGGGCCTGCTGAAAACCCTGTTGTCTCCAGGAGGGGAGCAGTTTCCTGGGAATGTAGCTCGTCCAGAGGAACGCAGAGCCCGGAGGTAAAGTGGGCCCTTTCAGCCCCCGCTGGCTCATAGTAAATCCCAACTACATTTCAGGATTGGGGAATAAAAATGAAGAGCTGGAATAAGAAGAAAGAAAGTAGGGGCACTGGGCACCGCGTGGACCCTAAGTTTTCTCTCACTTTCTCTCCAGCATAATTCAACTCCTCTTGGCTATAAATATCTGTAGAAGCCCCACGTCTCCATTATGCCTCTGACTGGCGGGAAGTTTTGTTTGTTTTAACCAGAATCCTTGGCATTCAGAGAGAACATTCAGGAATGTATTGTGGAGGCAGACCATTAAAAACATGAACCTGGGCCAGACGTGGTGGCTCACACCTGTAATCTCAGCACTTTGGGAGGCCGAGGCGGGAGGATGGCTTGAGCTCAGGAGTTTGAGACCAACCTGAGCAACGTAGTGAGACCTCCATCTCTATTTAAAAATACAAAAATTAGCCCGCCATGGTGGTGCATACCTATGGTCCCAGCTACTCGGGAGGCTGAGGCACCAGAATTGCTTGAATCCAGGAGGTGGAGGTTGCAGTGAGCCAAGATTGTGCCACTGCACTCCCACCTGCGCAACAGGGCAAGACTGTCTCAAAAAAACAAACAGAATAAAACCATGCAACTGGTACAAGGAGTGAAGTTAACGTCTCAAAAACCCTCAAACCCTGCAATTTTCCTGCTGGCTAAGGTGCTCCATATCTCTTGGTATCTCTCTCTCTCTCTCTCTTTTCCTTCCTTCCTTCCCTCCCTCTCTCCTCCCTCCCTCCCTCCCTCCTTCCCTCCTTCCTTCCTTCCTTCCTTCCTTCCTTCCTTCCTTCCTTTCCTTCTTTCTTTCTTTCCTGACTGAGTCTTGCTTTGTAGAGTGCAATGGCACGATCTCAGCTCACTGCAACCTCAGCCTCCCAGGTTCAAGCGATTCTCCTGCCTCAGCCTCTCGAGTAACTGGGATTACAGGCACTCACCACCACACCCAGCTAATTTTTGTATTTTTAGTAGAGACGAGGTTTCACCGTGTTAGCCAGGCCGATTTCAAACTCCTGACCTTAGGTGATCCACCCGCCTCAGCCTCCCAAAGTGCTGGGATTACAGGCTTGAGCCACCGCGCCCAGCCCTCTCCTCTCTTTCTAAATCAAGACACTTCTACTACCACAAAAACAAAAACAAACAAAAAGACAGGAGTAGCAGTAACGACTGCCAGCTGCTACCATTTACATTTCTTGAGTGCTCACTGTGAATCAGGCCCCTAATTCTCACAGTGAGCCTTTGAAATAGGTGTCATTCTCCCCATTTTATAGATGAAGAAACAGACTCAATAGTTAAGTGACTTCCCAAAGCCTGCCAGCCAGCAGGTGGTATAATTGAGATTTTAAAAATAGCTTTATTGAGGTATAATTTACACATCATAAAATGTAGCCATTGTAAATGTATTCCAATGATTTTTAGTGAGTTTACAAAGCTGTGCAACTCTTGCCACCATCCAGTTCTAGAACATTCCCATCCTCTTAAAAAGATCATCTGTCCAATTGTAGTCTCTCCTTGTCCTCCTTCTCTAGCCCCAGGCAGCCACTAATCTACTTTCTGTATGGATATGGTTTGGATCTGTGTCCTATCGAAATTTTATGTTGAATTGTAATCCCCAGCGTTGAAAGTGGGGTCTGATGGGAGGTGATTGGATCATGGGGGTGAATTTCCCTTGGGTGCTGTTCTCTTGATAGCGAGTGAGTTGTTACGAGATCTGGTCATTTAAAAGTTTATGGCACCTGCCCCTTCTCTGTCTCTTCCTCCTGCTTCGCCTTTGCCTTCAACCATGACTGAAAGTTTCCTGAGGCCTCCCCAGAACTCACTACACTTCCTATACAGCCTGCAGAGCCGTGAACCAATTAAACCTCTTTTCTTTATAAATTACACAGTCTCATATATTTCTTTATAGCGATTTAAGAATGGACTAATAAATGTATCTACAGATTTGCCTTTTTGGATATCTCATATAAATGGAAGCATGCAACATGTATCTGCATGGTTTGTATCTGACTCCTTTCACTTAGTTCATAAAGTTTTGAAGTTCATCCATGTTGTAGCAGGTATCTGTACTTCGTTCCTGTTTATGGGTACATAGTAGTCCATTGTATGGACATACCACATTGTATTTATGCATTCATCAGCTGATGGACATTTGGGTTATTTCCACTTTTTGGCTATTATGAATAACGCTGCCATGAACATTTGCATACATGTCTTTGTGTGGACAGAAGTTTTCATTTCTCTTCGGTATACACCTAGCAGTTAATTGCTGGGTCATAGTTAGGATTTCAGCCCTGGTCTGACCCCAGAGCCTCAACTCACTACCTTTTGTTCACTCCCTTCCTCATCCCTTAAAGTCAGTCTCCAGCAGTTCAAACCCTTAGCTAGGACATTCCCTTCCACTCCTCACTCTGCCCCTACCTAGGGAAATATTATGGTTTCCACCAAGTGAGACACTGAGAAGTTGAATGCCAATGATGGGTCCATGGAAGAAAACTACCCTCTTTAAAGGCACAGGCAGGGAGAAGAGGGACTGCAGCAGAGGCACCTGGGGTCCCAGCTGCTTTCAGCAGCAGCTTCAGGCTCCTAGGATGTCCCAGCACAGATGCCACTTGTCCTCTGGCCCCCACCCTGGTCAACAAGCAGAGTGATGACAGGTTCCTCTCACCACCTAGCTTCCTCTGTGCCTTCCAAATGAAAGTGACACTTTGAGGCTGGCAGAAAACGTTGGGGTGGTTGGAGGGGATAGAATGGGGGAGATGACAGACACCTGCGGTCAAGGGCTGTCGAAACAGAACTGACAGTAGCCGTGCCTCCTCAGGTCAGGTTCAGGGCCAACACTGCTGCTTTCCCCACACAGCGACCAACTCTCAATGGAGTCTTTGATGAGCAGCCTGCATTTGGCATCATAGTGTCTGGCCTGCAGGGAGGACCTAGGGGATGTAAGCTCTGGGAGAGACCAGCATGGGTGCTGGGGCAGGGGCAGACAGGGAGCTGCAGAAGAGAACTGTCTGTCTTTCCACCAGACTGTAAGCTTCTTGAGGGCAGGGACTGTGTCTGCCTACCATACTACAGGAGCAGCACAGTGTCTGGTACATGGCATAGCAGCTGCTTAGTAAATACTGGTGGAGCAAAAGAATGGGTGAAGAAATGAACGATTATTGGAACAGCTTCATCAGAGGCAAGTTGCAGAAGTTCAGTGGTGGAGGTGGCTATTAACCAAATAATTATGGGCATCTTCTAGATAGTTGGAGATATATATTCTAGCCTCTGGGTAGGATATTTCTTCAGGGCACATGTAAAATGGGAAGAGTGAGGTGGAAGGATCTTCTCTGCTCACAGCCCCTAAAGTAAAAATAGGAGTGCAGCCTGGGGCACCACCGAAATGCAGGCCTCTCTGCTGCTCCTGCTGCCACTGTTTGGCCTGGGTGACTTGAGCACCTACCAGCCCTCACCTTCCTCCATCCTCCCTCCTCTGCCTGTCCTTAGCCAGCAGCAGCCAGACCACCTGTACAGGAGCAGCCAGCATGTGGTGGAGGAGGCTTCATGCCACCTCTTGCTATCAGGGAAGACCTGCCTTGAGAACCTACTCGCTGAGGGCCCTGGGAGATGCTAATGACCATAAAGAGTCATCTAGATGCAGCGGTGATGAGAGTCTCTTGTCCTCTGTCTGCCACTGCATTTTAGAATAATCTTCCCTTCCTCCAAATCCAGATCTAAAAGGTGTAGCAGTGTTTTAAGGCTTGCTTTAGAACTTCTAGCCATAAACCCCACACCTGAATCAGACCACAATGCAATTAAAGGGCCTCTCTGAACCTCAATTTCTTCATATGTGTGTAATGGAAACAACAATACCTACTACGCCCAGTTGTTGTGAAGGTTAAATGGGTTGACATAGGTGTTGTGCCAGGCGTAATGCCCAACCACATGAGCACCTGCCTCTCCATGCCACGCAAGGCTGACCCTTCTCCAGGATCTGATACAATGATACTCACTCACCCAGCACTCATACTTCCACCCCACCATAGCCTCACGCCGACATAAAACCCACAACCTATTCTCCTTGGCATTTATGCCTTTCCCAAAACTCAGTCACTATGCATCCATTGCCTGGTGTTTTTGCTTTATTTCTGGAACGCCATCCCTTTCCCACATTTAGTATCAGGTGCCAGTGCGGCTGTCAACACCAGTGCTTGCAACTCCTCCATGCTGATGCTGTAAATCCAAACTTCATCTCTCCCCAGGAGCATCTTCCAATCAGCGTTGGCTGCCACATGGTCATTACTATGTCTGCAGTTTCTCAGGAGCGTTGCACGATGCTACGCTAACAGTTGTTAATGAGAGGAATATATCTTTGTGAAGTCGGCAGGCAGCTCTCCCAGAACTCAAATGGTATCCCTTTGGGTGATTCTGCATTTTTTAAAAAATAACAATGAATGGCTATTTTTCCAAATATCAAAGTGGAAGAGGCTGAAGCATTGTGCCCTGCTCTGAGAGTCTTTGTCCCTCTATCACCTTGAGAGAAGATTTGGCTTAATAGGCTCCTGCATTTTTGAGGCTAGGTTTACGAAGTGATGAGGTCTCCTGTCAATAAGTTAGACATCTTTCATTCCTCAAAACTGACTTAAGTAGTGGGATTGTCACTTTGTTGACTCTCCAACATATAATCCCCTTCCTGTTACCATCCCAATATGGGAAATCCCACTGATGCCTTCTTGGAGGTAGAGAGTGTCTGCCCACCATCATGGGGAATTCCCCATGGGGTGACATCTTAGGGAAAGGGAGCACTTGGTCATCATTAAGGAAGTTAAAGAGTCCATTTTTGACCCTTCCTGCTCATTCCAAAAGTAGGCAGGAATATAACTCCAAATCGGCCCATCAGACACCACTGGATGCCACTGAGGCTTATCATATAAGACAGCAAAGCCACCCTCAGATGAGGCTCCATCTGTCTGCTGCTCCTCTTTCTGATATAAGTTAGAATGAAGGCACATAAAACACAACTTCTCTACTTCTCTATGACCAACAATTCCGCTCCTAGGTATTTCCCAAGATAAATGGAAAACACATGTCTATGAAGGACTCTGATACAAATGTTCATAGCAGCCTCAAACCAGAAACTACCCAAATGTTCACCAACTAAAACTGGATAAGGAAATGGTGGTGTATCCATACAATGGAATTCCATTCAACAATAAAAAGAACAAACTACTGGACACATGCAACAAATTGGATGACTCCCATAAACATTAGGTGAGTGATAGAAGCCAGACCCAAAACGTAAATAGTGTACGATTCCATTTACATAAAATCTAAGACCAGACAAAGCTAACCTAGGATGGTAGAAGTCAGAACACAGTGAGCATTGTCTCAGCGCAGTGGAGGCAGGGGAATGATTAGAAACAGGAACAAAAAGAACTTTCTGGAGCTATGAAAGTGTCCTGTGTCTTGTTGGGTGGCAATTTCATAGGTGTATACATTGCTACAATCCATTGCGCTGAACCTAAGATCTGTGCATTTGACTGTACATAATTACACCTGAACTTTTTCTTTAATGTCAGTTAAAAAGAAAAACTGAATAAAGACTGGAAGCTGCTCTTCTCTGGGGTTTAGAATGCCACCCGTCTCTCCATGTCCCCCCTACCCCCGATCCCCGCCAAGGTGTGGCAGCCCTACAGGTGACACCTGGCACTCCCCAGACCTGCTCTCTGCCCCCAGCAAATCCAGTTATCCTCAGCTTCCAGCTTTGTCACCCATCCCCACCTGGGGATAGAATTGATAGAGTTATCTCTGCAGGCTTCTAGCTGAGAAGAAAGGGACTAAAGAAACCACAGGAACTCCCGGGCTTTGGTTACAGTTGTTCCATTTCAACTGTCCATCTGTCAGGACCACGCACCACAGAGGCAGCCCCAAAGGGTGAAAAAACTAACTCAGGTCTTCTGGTCCAGCGCATCCCTCCAGGAAAGAGAAAGACCTATTTGTTTTGGTCTAAACTGAAGAAGGCAGCTGAAATTCCAACTGCCTGCAGAGAAGCACTCGATGAAGCCCTTGGAATGTAAGTGCGGTTGCTGGGGTTGGGGGGAGGAGAGCTCTTTTCTAAGAGGCCTTGTAGTGTAGGATAAGAGAAAAAACACAAGCATTGAGGCAGAGACCTTCAGATCCCAGCTGTGCTACTTAACCAGGTGTGTGACCAGGACCAGGGGACAGCCTCTCTGTGGCTTCCTCATCTACCAGTTCAGGGGGTGGGAGGGATGTTGGGGAGAGGGCATACAAAGTAAGTGCCAAAAGTCCCTACATTCAACCCCCTAACCTGAGCAAGCCACATGGTATGATAAAGATTCTTGCAAACTGTGTGCTGTTTGCACAAAGTGACAGACATATGTAAAGTGACGTGGAGGTGCCTATGCATTACCTTTGTGTAAAAGTGAATAGGTAAAGTCCTCACCTTTCTTTGTATCTCAGGCTCAATGTCAGTTCCTTGGAGAGGCCTCCCCAGACCCTTAAATGTCCCCTTCCATATTATCTCTCAGGTAGTTATCCCAAGTGATTTTTTTTTTTTTTGAGACAGGGTCTCGCTCTGTTGCCCAGGCTGGAGTGCAGTGAGGCAATTGCAGCTCACTGCAGCTTGACTTCCAGGGTACAGGCGATCCTCAGCCTCCCAGGTAGCTGGGACTACAGGTGCATGCCACCAGGCCAGGCTAATTTTGGGATTTTTTTTTTGTAGAGACAAGGTCTCACTATGTTGCCCAGGCTGGTTTTTAACTACTGGGTTCAAGTGATCCTCTTGCCTCAGCTTCCTAAAGTGTTGGGATTATAGGCGTGAGCTCCCGGCCCAAGTGATTTTTTTTGGGGTGGGGGGGGACAGAGTCTCACTCTGTCACCAGGGTGGAGTGCAGTGGCGCAATCTTGGCTCACTGCAACCTCTACCTCCCGGGTTCAAGTGATTCTCCTGCCTCAGCCTCCCGAGTAGCTGGGACTATAGGTGTCTGCCACCATGCCCAGCTAATTTTTGTATTTTTAGTAGAGACGGGGTTTCACCATGTTGGCCAGGCGGGTCTCGATCTCCTGACCTCATGATCCGCCCACCTCACCCTCCCAAAGTGCTGGAATTACAGGCATGAGCCTCTGGGCCTGACCTCAGGTGATTACTATATATCCACTTGGGGTCATTTATTTTGTGTCTCTCTCACTCACTAGGCTACTAACTAACTACAAAGGCAGGGACTGTCTGCTCTCTTAACCCACTATTTTCATTAAACACGTAATGCCGTGCATGGCACAGAGTGGCTATGCAACAATTGTTTGTGAGTGAATAAATTCATATCCATAGTAAAAATGGTTTGAAGCTTATTATGTGACGCTTCCCCACATCCCTAAATCTGGAACGTGAGAAAACCTGGTAGGTAGAACGCTCTTGCTAAAGGTATGAAATGTTTCTGCATAAAGACATGTGTTCATAGAGATTATCATTACAGTGAAACCCACAGAACTTTATTCCCAGCTGGGATCCAGCAGTAAGCTAGCATCTGACAAAAGCATTATTTTTATTCAAATAACCTGTATCTATAAGTGGCACCTGCCCATAATAGAGCCTATGCTTTTTTTCTTTTAAAAACTCAATAAATCATTCCTGATATTTTAATGGAGATGAAATTAAATTAATACTCTCAGCTTCTTTTTAATGCAGTTCACATTTTCAAAGTTTATTTTAAACTAGGTTGAGGTCTGTAAAATCCAGTGCTTTGAAATGGTCTGGGGTTTCAGGGTTAATTTCCATATTAATTTAAGCTATAAACATGGTTAGGAAGTAAATCTACTGCCAAAAAATATATATAAATGCATTCTGAAATCAAAGGTGCATTTGGGATTATCAATGGATGTAGGTTTCTATGCCAAAGAAGCCCTTAATTAATATAAGGGGACGTAAAACTACTCCATTTTTACTAGTTAAATTTTTATGGAGGTCAGCTTTTGAAGTTTCATGCCACCCTATTAATCAGCAATTTCCCTTTCTTAAAATCATTCTTATGACTCACTTCTTCTGAGAAGCCTTTTCTAAGCCCGCTTCAAGGAAAGCAAACTCAGAAGTAACCCTTGACCTACCGGCCCCAGAAACTCGCCCTCAGAATACCATCTCTCGGCTGGGCGCGGTGGCTCACGCCTGTAATCCCAGCACTTTGGGAGGCCGAGGCGGGCGGATCACAAGGTCAGGAGATCGAGACCACGGTGAAACCCCGTCTCTACTAAAAATACAAAAAATTAGCCAGGCGCGGTTGTGGGCGCCTGTAGTCCCAGCTACTCGGGAGGCTGAGGCAGGAGAATGGCGTGAACCCGGGAGGCGGAGCTTGCAGTGAGCCGAGATCGCGCCACTGCACTCCAGCCTGGGCGACAGAGCGAGACTCCGTCTCAAAAAAAAAAAAAAAAAAAAAAAAAGAATACCATTTCTCAGAATCGAGCATATGGAACATCCCCAAACAAAAAGTGAGCTCACCTCTGTTCACCAGTGTCTTTGCTCTGAGCTGGGCAGCCCTTGTCCAGCCAGGCTCTTCAGCCTTGAGTCAATCAATAATGCCTGACATTTTTAATTTTTGAGCATATACAGTGTGTAGGGCACTGTCCTGACACCTTTTGGTAGATTATCTCAGTTCTATGAGGTCAATCTCTGTTTAGCTCCATCTTACACATAAAGAAACCGAAGACCAGAGAGGTTAAATAACTGCCCAAGGCCACACAGCAGCTAAGTGGACAGCTAGGCAGACCACCTCCAGGCTGTTCTCTTAGTCACTCCACTCTACTACAATGAGCTGAGCAATCTCTGAATTTAATGTTTTTAGTGTTTGGAAGTCTGGAAAGATATCTGCAAAGAAGAGGAACAAAGAGAAGATTGGAAGGAGCCAGGTGGACCTGCCTTCACTCATACAGTGAAACTCCAGTCTTGGAAGGGAGAAATGGGAGATAGCAAGAGAGTCCCCCAGGAGAGCCACATACACCCAGGCTACGCAGTGGGAAGTGAACTGCACCTGCTACATCTACCGAACTGCCATCTCTACATCCATCTCCCTTTCTTCCTCCCGTGCCCTTTGCTGCCTCCTCCCAGAATCCCTGTTGACACAGCCTCTGCCCTCAAGCCTGAGCCTTACCTGCCTCCCTAGCCTCAGCCCCCGAAGCTTAACATACCCTGCAGCATGTCCTAGGCACAATCAACTATAATCAGCCTCTAGCCCTATAACAGATGGAGCTCTTGTGATTTCCTGCAGCTGTGCCAGTTGTTGAGGATGCCAGCAGCTGAATCCCTTCATGGAAGACGCTGAGAGAGACAGTATAGTGGCGGAAAGGATGTGACTTTTGCAGTCAGATCAGTACTCAAATTGAGATCTCAACTTACCAGCTACTTGACTTGACATGCCCTCCTTGAGACACCATTTCTTTATTGCCCGCTTCAAGGAAATAATAAAATGAAAATAATAAAACCTACCTCTTGGGGCTAAGTGTGGATCAGCATGATGCACTTGGAAAGTAGCTGGAATGAATATTTCTTGTTTTCCTTGTCCTGCATCCTGTCCTCTTTCTATGACAATGCCTTGGCTTTTCTGTGGGGGACCACTGCCCCCCTCTTGGTCAATGTGGTCTGATTAGGTGACTCTACTTTTCCTCTAAGGTGGAAGGATGGCTTAGCCAAATCAGGCCCAGTAGAATCTCAGTGATTGGTTCAGTGATGAGCACTTGACCAAGTCTGTGCCAATGAGAATTGGCCTTAGAACTTTTCCTGGTACCATTGGGATAGAAGCCTCCTGTTCCCTGGAGCAGCCCTGTGGCTGAAATATGAGCCAAGAGCTGTGGCAGCTATCTTGCCACAACAATGGAAGGGGAGCTTTCTTAGAATGATTTCAACATTGAAGAAAATGGGGCTGAGGGAGGGAGAGAGCAAGGCCCTAGACAACTTGGGATACCTGGAATCAGCTGTAACAATTTGATCAACTCCCACTTTTCAGATGCCAGAGGTGATACATTTTCTCATTGGCTTTTTTCACTGTGAGATGGCTACTGTTATGAGCTAAAATGTGTGTCCCTCTTCCTCAACAAATTCACGTGTTAAAGCCCTAATGTCCAGTACACGGAACGTGACTGTATTTGGAGATAGGTCCTTTAAGGAGGGGATGAGGTTGTTGACATAGGCTATTAGGGTGTGCCCTAATCCAATCTGACTGGTGTCCTTATAAAGAGAGGAAATTAGATGCACACACAGCAGAGAGTTGCACAAATATACAATGCGAGGACGCAGTGAGAAGGCAGCCGTATGCAAGCTAAGGAGGCCTCAGAAGAAACCAAACCCACCAATGCCTTGATCTTGGACTTTTAGCCTCCAGTACTGTGACAAAATAAATTTCTGTTGCTTAAACCACCCAGTCTGTGGTAATTTGCTATGGCAGCTAGTAACTAACACAGCTACCAAAGGACACTTGACTAATACGCTTTCTTTTCCTGCAATCTATAGGAGAACTATAAATGGCCACTTTTCAATGTTGGATAGGAATACACCAAGGGTTTCGGAGATGGGAGAGAATAGAGTGCTGAAGTAGTCAGACAGGGCTTCGTGGCAGGTGAGTGGGGGTAAAACCCAGGCTGGGCTTTAACAAATCAGTAGAGAAGATAAAGGCATCTAAGTAGAAGGAACGACCCAGGTGGGAAATAGGATAACTAAGCCAACTGACCCAGCCAGAGAGTGGCTGAGAGAGAAAAGGAATACTGGATAAACGTTGAAGGGCCAAATTATGGAAAGTCTTCTCAAGTCCACACTGGGGAGTTTGAAATGTATATTGTAAAGGACAAGAATTCATTGTTGGTCTTGGGGCAAGGGAGTCACAACTTGAAGGTGGTGTTTAAGGAAGCTTAGCTGCCTCCAGAGATGGGGAGAGAGCAAAGTCAGGGAAACCATCTCTGAAACATTGGATTCCTATCAGGTTCCCACTGGGAGATGGGGAGGAGATGACCCACCAGTCTACTTGAGACAAGGTCCTCCTTCCGAGCAAAGGAGCAGTCTCAGTGGGTGTTGGGGAGGCTGATGGGAGGCTTTGAGGTTAGATTTGGTGACAGCTTTAGTTTATTAATGTTCTCTGCCCCTCCCCCAAGGAACACAGCTGGATCACAGCTGGATGCCATCATCATTGTGAAGGGGATCCAGCTAACCCACTCCACCACTGCTGTCCCACCTCTAACATCCATCTCTGTCACAGCTTCCCAGTTCCACTAACCCCCATGGCCTTTTGCCTTATGCAGACATTCAGATCTTACGATCCCAGCAAAACACTGGTAGGTCCAAAGCACCCTCCAAGCCCAGCCTCCATCCTGGGAGAGGAATAAAGTCACCTTCTTTCTACCCTCTCAGAGCCTTCCACGATGGCAAATCCACAGAAACCAGTACTAGAGGCCCTTTCATCCTTTCATCCAATAAGTATTTGCATATATTATGTGCCAAGCACTGTGGTAGGCATGGAAGATGCAATTAAGAAATTAAAGTAAGACTCAAGTGGATTTCCACAGCAATTAAGATATTATGGAATTGTCACAAGGACAAGCAAATAGACCAATGGAACAAGAGAGTCCAGAAACAGACCCACACATATATGGCCTATTAATTTACAACAAAAGTGACATTGTAGAGCAGTGGGATAAGGATGGTCTTCTGAATAAATGGTGCAGGGTCAACTCAATATCAATAAGAAAGGTAAAAAGAAAATAAGATGATCCCTACCTTATGCCATATACAAAAATCAATTCCTAGTGGACTATAGATCTATAAAGAAAAACAGAACAATAAAGCTTCTAGAAGATAAGGCAAAAGCACTGCCCATAAAGGAAGAGATAGATAAATTTAACTTCATTAAAATTAAGAATTTCAGTCCATCAAAAGACACTATCAAGAGAATCAAAAGCAAGCAACATAATAAGAGAAGATTATTTGACAAACACATAACCAGCATAGGATTTGTGTTCGGAATACATAACTCCCAAAGATTAGTTGTTTTTTTTTAAAGGCAAACACACACATAAAAATGGGCAAGAGATTTGAATTGGCACTTCAAAAAGGAGATTCCAAAGAGCCAGTAGACATATGAAAATGTTGACCTCATTACTAATTGGGGAGATGCAAATTAAGGTCAGAATGAATTACCTTAAAAATCTGTCAATCCCCAGTGTCAGTGAGCTGTGAAGAAACAGTTAATGTCAGACGCTTCTTGTGGGAAGGTAAATTATAAAACATAGAAATATACTTTGACCCAGAAAGACCACTCCTAGGTTTCTCTCCAAGAGAAAGAACTATGTGTACAGGAAGACCAAGAGACATGGAAAACAATGTTGATAGTAGTACTCTTCATAATAAACAAAAGCGAAAGATTACCCGAATGTCCGTCAACGATAGATTGCATAAATACATTTGGTATGCTCCCACGATGGAGTGCTATACTGGATTAGGCCATTCTTGCATTACTATAAAGAAACACCTGAAACTGGGTAATTTATAAAGAAAAGAGGTTTAACTGGCTCATGGTTCCACAGGCTGTACAGAAAGCATGATACTGGCCATCTGCTTGGCTTCTGGGGAAGCCTCAGGAACCTTACAGTCATGGCGGAAGGTGAAGGGGGAGCATGCATGTCACATGGCAAAAGCAGGAGCAAGAGAGTGAGTGGGAAGGTGCTACAAACTTTTAAACCACCAGATCTTACAAGAACTTACGCATTATCATGAGATCAGTGCCAAAGGGATGGTGCCAAACCATTCATGAGAAACACCCTCATGATCCAACCACCTCCCACCAGGCTCCACCTCCAATATTGTGGATTACATTTCAATGTGAGATTTGAATCATTCATTGTTCAATTAAACTCCTTTAAATTTAATCCAGCCCAGATGAAGTTTTTCTTTTAATAATGTATATGTGCTATACTTTATAATATTGTTAAAATATTATACACACATCCAAAGTATATCATATACCAAAATGAAAATACACAAATTACAGCTACATGTCACACATGGATAAATCTCACAAATCTAAGCAATAGATAGAACTAACTGTAGGGCTAGAGTTCATGGGAGCTGTTCCTGGAAGGGAAGAAGAGGGATAAGAATTGACAGGGGATCTGGGAGAATTTTCTGGAATGCTGGCAATGTCTGGGTAATGAATACACAGGTGTTTTGTTGTATAATAATCCACTGCACTTTATACTGTATGTGCAGTTTTATGATGTTAAAGTAAACTAAAAATGGCCTGAGAAGGACTCCGTACTTCTATATTTGAGTCCTTGTGGATGAACCGCAACCTAACTTAATAGGTAGACAGGATTGAAAACCTAATTTAGGAGTATGCACCTGTAACAACAGCTGAGTCTTGGCCAATCCCAGCAGCCATACTTCAACCACTCATACACTGCTGAGTGTTCAAACTGTGTCCAAATAAGGCAAATGCCAACCTGTAACCAATCCAGCTGTTTCTGTACCTCACATCTGATTTCTGTACGTCACTTCCCTTATTTTGATCTATAAATTTGTTCTGACCAGGAGGCATCCCTGGAGTCTCTCTGAATCTGCTGTGATTCTGGGGGCTACCCAAATCACAAATCATTCGTTGCTCAATTAAACTCCTTTAAATTTAATCCAGCCCAGATGAAGTTTTTCTTTTAATAATGTATATGTGCTATACTTTATAATATTTTTAAAATCAACAAAAATTATGGTGTATGCCATCGACCAGTTAAGAGCTTTTTGGGGAAAAAAGAGAAAAGAAAACAGGCATTCATGACACAATGAAATCAATGCCATGATGAGCCTGACCCAGCTCTGCCCCAATCTAGTCATGTGGTAGCAAGTGACTTAAACTCTCTCAGCCTTCTTTTCTTCTTGCATAAAATGGGAATGATAACCATACCTGCCTCATGGGGCTGTGAGAATTAAATGAGGTAACAGAAGTAATACAGCTAGAATATACTTTGTATATGGTAATCAATCAATATTTTTGTTAGCTATTACTATCATCATTATTAGTACCACCACTACTAGTACTATCACTAAGAGTACCATCATTACTAGTATCACCTCCATTAGTACTACCACCACCAGTAGTACCACTTTCACCACAACTACCACAAGAACTCAAGGAGGAGAGAGTGGAGTTCCCTGCATCTCTTACATCTGCTCTTTACCACTCTCCAGCCAGCTGGTGTCCCTGGGAAGATGGAAGAGGAAACCATTGAGTTACTTTCCCCTCTCTTCCCCCAGGGTCCTCAAATCAGCCATAGCAATCAATTCTCAATTCTCAATCACTTCTCACATTTTGCTCAAAACCTGGCAAAGGAAACACTAGAGCCACTACTAATGCCCAGGTTCTCTTACCATGCCAGTGCCCTATATACAGCAGGTGCTCACTATATGCTTATTGAATGCATGTAGACTAAGGGGATAAGGATAAGTGAGA